TATCGTTTAGTTAAGTATTTTTAGTATAACATAGTTTTAATAGACTTTGAATAATTTTGCTTTTGCATGTGTTTTTTTGATTGGTGATTGTGTTCGCTTAAAATGTAAAAGGAAGATTTCCAAAGAAGAAATTAGGAAGCTTTATAATGGAACGGCTTCGTATATTTAACGGTAACGATTAAAGATTAGTGTTTAGTTTTTCTATAACTCTATGCAAATGAAATTTCGCACGTTTTATTTTCCATCGCACAGCCGCTACACGCACGTCATTTTTCTATTTTAAACTAATTCTATTTAATGTAAAAACCTGTGTGCCAACACTCTTTAGGTAATACGTGTACGTTCGATGCCGATGTAAACGATTCCGAGGTAAGGACACGATTGATGCCGGTAAAGGCCAATAAAATGACAGAAACTTCTTCCGAACGCGAAACTAGAGCTTCCGAACGTCTCAGAAAAACTTCCAGGGATGAGCCGAAAAAGATACCGGATATCATTGTCGAAATGGCTAAACCGACAAAAGAACCCAATGTGGATTTTGAACGAAATAAAAGCCGCATATCCAGAAACGTCGCCTTAAATCGATCGTTCAACTCTAACTCTAAATTAGAATTATTAAAGTACGAGAAACATTGTTATTGTATTTTAGACTCGGTGTGTTAGTACAACTGTCTTGTGTTTTTTCTTGTAGACAGCAAAAACTTGGTGCTAAGAGTAAAGAAAACGAAGACTGTTCTAAACCAAAAAAACATTTTGAATCTTCAAACGACATCACCGACGGTACCGTGACTGCCGTCAAAGGCGGTTCGATAAAAGATAGACTTGCGGCTTTGAAAAAAAGTGGGCAAGCTGACTGGCAAAAGAGGATTTCAAAAATAAAACCCGAAAATCACGAATTATCCAATAATTCTATTAATGTAAGAATCATTCTGTTTATGTCGTATAATGTTAAATAGTATGAGATAGTTGTTATTTTCAGGCGGCACAAGATATTTTGCGTAAACAGCTTACCAAACAGGTGAAATCCACCGAAGAACCGGCTGAATGTATTGACAATGTACTGGTCGATCGACTTAACCAATTAGAAACCGCGTCCAAAGATTGGAAGAAACGAGTTGAGCAAAAAGATACCGCCAACTTCACGGTGGCTGGAAAAATGCAACAAAAAGTTTTGCCAGCTCTTGCCCCAGCTCTGGTAGCACTCAACCGACGGCCCTCAGACAGATTATCACCCAGTAAGATACTTTGTTCTGTAATTATTTTTGCATTTTTCTT